GTTAATGTAAATGTATTTTAAAGAAATAAAATTTTACAGAAGGCATTGTTGAATGTATTAAGTATAAAGTTGTACACTTCAATCACTTAATATATACAATTCTCTAAGACAAAAATTCAAATGAAATTCTAGTATCCTTTGGTGAAATTTCCATATGCTATAAAATTGGTACGAATTTCTGAGACGCGGAACCCAAAATCCTATTACATTATTTACTCCAACATAATCCTACATTTATTCCCCTTTTCTACCATAAGTTTATAATTGTTATACTAAAATTTTTCAATTTTTTTTTGTTATATATCTTTTCCATAATTCATAATAAAACTAAATATTAAAAATATTTAAGATCAATTAAGAAAAAATTGTTATAATGATTTAAAAGATAACATAAAACAAATTTATGTTTTCTGTCAACTTGAAATTATAAAAGATTTTTAAGCTTTACTAATATACAAATACATAAACCTATAGGAAATTTTTCAAACTCAGAATTTCATCAAATCTTATTTATAATAAACACCTTTTTTTTTTGAAATACTTAAAAATTAAGAATTGTTTTTCTTTCCCTTTCTTTATATTATATTCATTTATGTATAAATAAGTCCTTTATGAACACTATCATATACAAACATAATACTGACGAACTCAAATGAAATTTTAATACCCTTTATAAATGAACTAAAATGAAAAAAGTAAAACAAAAAAGTGGAAACTCCTTACAATCCTGTGTATAACTAAATACCCTCACTTTTGAACGTTCAATTTTTGTTGTACTTTTGATTTATAAGTACCTTATTATCTGATTATGGTTTGTCTTTTAAATATTTCAATTTTAATATAATATGTACATATATATATACGCAATGTATAAATAATTTTTGTATAAATTATAACAAGAAACATAAAATAATTGAGGTAATTTTCAGGAACTCGTATTCATATCAATTCTAAAAATTCAGAAGAAGTAAGTAAGTATACGTTTTGTTGAACACAAAAAAAAAAATTAAGACTTAAATTAAAGACTTAAAAACAAAAACAGAAAAAAAGTTGATTTTTCGCGTATAGCTTACATTCTTCATTTTAAAAAGCAAGAGGAAATTTATCGTATTATAATTGTGATGCTCCCGCAACTCTTGCTCTTTACTGAAAATACAAAATATTATTGCTACATTAATTTATAGTTGTTCATGGTAATTTTCAGGTATGTGTATTATCAGCGCGAAATAATAAGAGTTTAGAAAAAGATATCTATACCCTTCATAAATTAAGTTCAATTGCGATTAACACTTTCAAATTTTCTTCCTACAGTATCCGAAATTATACATTTTATTATTATATTCGACTTTAATTTAATTTAAAACTATAATGCATAAAAATTTTAAAATATCGTATTAATTATTTAGATTAGTAAAAATTAGTAAAAAAATTACAATTTTCCAATTTTTAAAGGGTTAAAAGAGTGAGAGGTCAAAATTCTATAATAAATTTTAGGAACTTCACTATACTTATTAAATCAACGAGAATAATACTATACTTTGAATGAGAATCCGTGGCGGAATTTTCTAAAATTTCCAAATATGAAAAATTGCAAATGAAAAAGCAAATTTATAATACCAACTCTGAGAACAATATCCTAAGGAATATAAAAACAAAAATATGCGTCTTATTTTTGTTGTATTCTTTTTTAATTTACAAAAAAAAAAAAGGTGAAATATATTTTCATTGAAAATTTGCTTCTTAATTGAGATGTCATATGACATAAATATGCATTTCATGAAATAAATCTGTATTTCTACATATATATGTATATAATATATACACAAAAACATACCGATGAATAAACACATATCTACATATTATCAATAAAAAAAAAAAATTATAATAACAAAATTATGTAAATTGCCACTTAAAGCTCTTAGAATAAATAAGCATAATAATATTATGCACACATGTATGTTCATACATATATAAAGAAACCGAATGGTACCGAAGCATCTGTAAAAATCTGTAGGTACTACATACTAAACAAATTTCATATTGAGTAAACCAAGACGTAAAACATTATGAAAGTCTTAATTTCTCCTATACAATGTGTATAGGCGGTGCGAGTATATGTGATATATGTTAATGATTATAATATCGTAAAAAAAAAAGAATAAGAAAAATTATAACAAATTGTTATAATGATGCTACAACAACAACGTTCTCATTATAATATCAACAGAATGATTTTTTTTTTTTGAAAAATTTCTTCAGTCTAAGAAATTTTTCTTTCGAATCTTATTTTTTTTTATTCTTAAGAACCAGTGACAGATGTTATAATATGTATCAATTATATATGCGTATTATGTATACATGTATAATTGTATAAATGTATATAACAATTCTATATCCAAATGCAAGGAGCACGCGTTTCAAAGAAGAATTTTAAGTATAACAAAAATTTTTTTTTTGTAATTTCATTTTTATCACATTTCCATATAAAAAACAAATTGAATGAAAAGAGACAAAAAAATGGAATGCGCTTTACGTCAACGCATTTTAATATTTTAAAAAATCATTTTCAGTTTTTAGTTATTCTCTCATATTAATGTACATAGATGAATTTTTAATTTTTGAGTGCTACCATGATAGTTAAATAATTTCTAGCAAGAAATTATTATTGTTTTTTAATTTTTTTTTTTTCATTTTTATTTTCTACATTGAAATCTAGCCACACAGAATTAATGCAATATTTTTAGTTATTCACTTTATTAATTGGGTAAGTTACATTTAATCGAAAGTTAAATTTTTAGAAAATTTTTCATCGAATATTGAAAATAATGCAATATTTTTCAGAATGGAAAACAAATATATCAGTCTAAAATCAAGTATAAGTAAGTTATTGCAATAATTTCAGGATTTAATTGTGTATAATATGTCAAATTTTTTCGAATTTTTTTAACATAGAGATCGCATTGAACATTCTTCAAATTCGAATTGTCATTATATAAAAATTGATTTAGCACCCAATGACTTCTTCTTATTCCCTCACATCAAAAAAAAATGCGTGGACAACGATTTTCAACACCTGAAGAAGCAGTCGATGCGTTCAAAAGCCATGTTTTGGAGGTGTCTCAATCGGAGTGGAAAAAATGCTACGAAAATTGGTTTCAGCGCATGCAAAAGTGTATTGATCTTCATGGGGAATATTTTGAAAAACAATAAAACCATTTCCAATGATAAATGTTTGTTTTTTATTGCTAGACCCGAAATATAAATAGTGACCCTCGTATATATAATTTTTTAATTCATATTGTAACTCAAACCTTTCCCGAATTCACGTTCTTCTTAAATTTAATTATATTGTTTTTGATAACACAGTATTTCATTCTAAATTACTCGATAACCTTCTCTATTTCGTATTTATTTTTACTATTAAGAGTATTTATAATGTTATAGCATGCATTCTTTCTTAAGTATAGTGTTACAATTTATCGGAATTGTTGCTACTATGCTGCATTATGAATAGTAAGAAATTCTCCTATTTTCTTTGATTAAAAATTGCCCGAAACAAGTATCGAATTTATTTTTCGTAAATAATTATTCAATGTACATAATATATGGTTTTAAAAAAATTTTTTATAAAAATTGCAATTTGTGTCCAATGAATTTTCTCATAATAACTAACTTTTCATATCATTATTTCGATATTTTGTCCTTATAACTTTTTTAATATCGAAATAATGTTCTATTACCATTTAAAAGATAACACTTAACCTATATGAAATTAAAACATTCTTTCTCATAAAAAATTTCTAATATAATCATAAACAAAGTATGTATGTCACTGGCCGAGTATAGAGATTCTCGTATAAAATGATCTAGAAAGAAAGATATACATATACCTTTTATGCGTGCGTTACAATTTTAAATACAAAAGAGACGGAGTATAGGAAATAAAAGACAAAAAGAAAAAAAATTTAACAATTTTAATTTCTTTCCACTTGGTTTTTCTGTTTTTTGTGCACATACATACATACAATTTATATGTATACATATATATATATTTCAGTTTCTGTTATCAAGATCAAGATTAAAATTGAAACTGTCTATTATGCATTTAAAGAAAAAACTATTATTCCGATCTTTTAATAAGTGGATCAGGTTTTAAAAATTTTACAATTACAAATAAAATATTTTTTTTTTTTGTATAACATATTTGAAATGAAATAAAATGAATAAGAAAGCATTTAATATTTTGTAACATAATTACAAAATACTTCTTCAGACTTATCGTGCTCTCATATTTGAACGTCCAGAGATCGGTATGTATTCGGCATAGGGTATTTGGTAAATAATACCATTTTATTAACAATAAATTAGCCTGTGTTACAAATAAAAACACAAATGTTTGTATCAAATTTCACTGTTCTATACATGCGGAGTACACTCATCTACCCATTCATATATTGCTGTATATATGTTATATACAGCAATATAAGTGTTTACAATAATAAAATATTCAAAATGCGTAATTAAATCGTACGCAATTATTCCGAAATGACAATAAAAGAAAATAAAAGCATAATAGATGCGTGTATATATGTATGTATATGTATATGTACAATGTGGATTATGAAGGTATTAGAAAATGAAACTGGTCTAACATAAAATTATTTTAATCAACATTATATTAAGTGATTAAAGGTATTTACATAAGTATTTTTTTAATAAAATTCATCAGAGATTTGAAAAAAAAATCTTTGTATGTACAACAGGCTTGTTATACATAAAAACATGCCTATTTATTGTTTAGACATACTTATACGTTAACAAAGAACTTGAAGATTGCTATCTAAAAATATACATACAAATATAATTTGTACTTTCGATTTCTTAACTTACTCGCAACTTCATAGTTTCTCTATGGTAGTTATTAATTTCTTTCATTTATTTGAATTTATTTTAAAAAAAAAAGAAAAAAACAATTTGTATGAAATTTAAATAAAACTTACCTCGATCAACAATTTTTCCAAATAAATTTTTTCCTCTTAAAAAATTTCTAGTAGAACAATTCCATCTACGATTTCTAAATTGATGTTGACATTCTGCTATAGCTAAATTAGCTCCTTTAACAAGAGCACCTAATACACCTGGATTATCACGTACTAAACGTCTTTGTTTACGACGTAATGTTGCATGAACTGCTGGATCAAATATACCCGATGATAATGGTGATATATTATTTGGTTCACCAACTTTTGCAATTCCCCTATAATAAATGAATAGGAAAATATTTTTATTTAAACAAAAAAATTTAATTAAGTTAAAATAAATGAAAATATTTTAAATATACTAGAGGCACCTTTTCAATTAATTTGATAGTAAGCCGCCTATAAATTGGTGAAATAATCAAGGAGTAGCAGACATTGCGAGAGGGGAGAATTATAAATTTGGTCTTTTATTTGCAATTTTTCATATTTGGAAATGGCACAAAATCCCGTCACGAATTCTCATTCCGAATATTCGAATAATAAGTGAGTAGAAAAAAAATCCTAAAAATTATTAGAAATCTAAATCTTTCGAAAAATCTAGAAGAAAATTGTGCTCGTAACAGCACGTATACTTGATAAATAAATCAATTTCATGGATAATGTTTTCAACAACTCAGAAAACGTTTACAAACATAGGCCATGGATAATGTTTTCAAAAACTTTCAACAAACCTGCGTCACGAAAACATATTTATACGCCTCAAGGTCGCAAAGAGGAAAGTCACTATTTTTTAGAATGGAAACAATCTTTACACATTTTCAATAACATTTTCACATTTACGACGAATAAAACAAACATCTGATAATCGGAGTATTAACGATATGGTGCGAATGATAACGAATTACGATATTAGGTTTAATAGGATGTTAAAACGTTTTTTCCATATCTTATGATGAGTGATATTTTGCTGGAAAAAATGGAAACCAACTTAGCAACTCATTCGCAAATTCATTTTACGATTTAAAAACGTTTGCCTTAAAGAGCTCTGGAAACGATCTTTTGTAGATTGTTTCAAAGATATTCAAAATACTCTTGTATACTCTTGTATTTAATTTTCTCGTTATTCTGCCGCAAATCATTTCAATCTCTTAGACTTACGCTTAATACTATAAAAGTTCCACATTTACGTTTACAATCATTTTCTCGAAAAACTGTTAAATATCATAAAATCAATCAGATCACACAAGATGTTCAATTAACACAAGAAAAAAACTTTTTTTTTTTTTGTTACACCCAACTCTATTTTTTTTCTGTTATGGTGTTCTTATTGGCACGTAAAATTTTTCATTACTTCGCGCATATTTTCTTCTCCGGTATTATTTTATATTTTGTATGTGTTTTTGTTATTTTCTAATTTAAAAGTAAATTAAATAACAAATAACAGTAAAGGTAAGTTAAACAAATTGGTCGTCACATATACACAATTAAAATACAACACTAACATACATTCCTTTATTATTATGTTTACTGTTAAAGCTGCAACACACATATTATGTATGCGCATTAAAAAATAGTGTTTGACAAAAAAAAAAATTAAAATAAAAATAATAAAATCAGAAAAAAATTCAAATAGCCTATTAACACCTTTTCATATTAAAAAATATCCACTATACAAAAATACCATTTATATCCGAATAACATAAGAATCGGTGAGGCGCATTAATATAGAGAAACAGAAACATAAAAAAATCAATGAAATTCTTTACTGCTGCCGCCCGATCTCGAATAACACCTGATCACAATGTAAACATGAAATAAAATATGTAAAAAGAAACAAAAAAAAAAAAAACAAACAAATAATAATAAGGAAAACAAAATATGATTTTCAATCAAAGTGAAAATTTAAAAAACTAACACCATGTTTTGTTATTTTTTAACCACAACAATCAGACGACATCTCTCTATTTGAGGCCTAAAATATTTAATTTAACAATTAAATGATTTCATTCATCCGTTATTTAGAAAGAAAAAGACCTAGACCTAAATGTTTTAATGTATGAATGTAAAAAAAAAAGGTGATTCTTCTGGCTATTCCAAAAAAAAATATACATTTGTGTATATATACTTGTTGAGATTTTAATAATCCTCAGAATAAACACACTTCGAATACATATGTACCCATTAAGTGCCACAACTTAAATGTAGCTTCAAACCAATTTTAAGCCAAGTGTTTAGGAACGTTTTTTTTTCACCTTGTCAACTGAATTGATCCGTCAATTTTCTTAACTAAAATAACAAACACTTAATGTTTAAATATCCATAAATGATCTATTAGTTGGTCCCTTAGGAACAAAATGCATCACATATGTTCATATACGCTCATTTAAGTATTTGTAGTTTTATTTAGGCATATACTTGGGTATATAAAACCCTAGAATAAATAAAAAATAAATAAATAAAAATATAAAGAAAAATAAATATCAGGAAGTACCGAATAGGATTTAAAAAATACCAGAGTCCGCTAGATTCTATTCATTTTTAACAAAAAAGGTTAGTTTTGTGTTTTTTTTTTCTTTTCTCTCGTATGTTTTTAACATTAAGGCACACTAAGAGTGCACAATAAAAATAATAAAAAAAAAAACATTCTTTCCTTTTTTTTATAAATTTTAAAAGAAAATATTTAAATGAATGTATGTGTACACATTTGTGTGCCCCATTCAATCATAAATAATATTGGAAACAATAAACTGAATGTATATATTCGTACATTATGATTTTTAAGTGTCATTAAAAGAGCACAATGTGAATGAAGTAGGAACTATGAATATTGAAGGTATATACGACAGGTAAAGTTATATTTTGTTTGTTATCGATAAATTAGGCAGAATATTATTGCCTCTTCTGTTTGCATGTAGATAATTTTAGTACTTCCTTATGCATAAAGATTTCTCATACAAAATATGGTCGAATCATCAAGAACTTTCACGGCGATGATGCAATTAGAATTAGATTATGTAACGGCTAGGAAGGAGTTATTCTCATAAGTGATGGGCTTATAATTTTTGTGATCTGTTAATGTGCTACAAGAAGGATTTTTCAGGTGCACAAACCACTCGCTTGTGCTAGTAATGATGAAACGGTTAACTGTATATGAAGCAGGAAAAATCTTTATATATTAAACCCATCTGATTAAAAAATGGTGGAACAAAATCTAATAAACAGGCGAATTGAATTCTAGAACTACATTTAGTAGCATAATTACACTAGTATCTCACACTTATACCTTTTATTTAAAAAACAAAGAGTTACCATATTTATTTACCATATTTAAAAAAGAGTTTAAATTTTCCTTTAAATTTTCTTAGGATCGATAATCCTTTTAATAAATAAATTTTACAAAAAGATTTATAGATGTCAGATTTCAAAAATAAATATGTAGTGTTGAATAAATAAGTGCATATACCATTGTATGAAAAAAAGGGTATTTTTCTTTTGAAATCAAAATAAACACTTAGCGAGAAATAAATAAATGAACTGGTAATATAAAATAATTATTTATTTTCTTTTAATAGAAATTATTAGCTCTTTAAATGGCTCTATTAAAAATTCAAAGACATGTGTAAATATTAAACAACACTTATATATACATATATGTTTTGTGTCTTATTTACTATACACTACAAAATTTACCTTTAAAATTCTAATCAAACATTTTAAAAAATTTCAACAAAATTATGATCTCTTAATTGGGAAGCAATATTTTTTATATATAGGAGTAGTGTAAACTTTTATTTATTTTTTATTCAAATGAAATGAATTTTTTAGTCAGAAGTTTATTTGAAAAAAATTCTGATTATTCAAAATTTTAAGGTTGATACAGTCGAGTATAGCTATAATTCTGTATTTTGAAAAATTTTTGTTTTATTTAATTCAAATGATTTAGAGTTAATTTCTTTCTTAATAAATTACATTTTATTTTGTATATTCTTAAATTTTAAATGATCCAATAAATGGTGTTTACTGTATTTGAACAATCTTTTAAATTGTTAATATGCGTACTTATATTATCCTTTCATTTTACATACAAGTATTTATTTAGAATAAATGAGAAACGTCAATAGGCGTAAAATAATAAAATTATAATCCATTTTCTCAATATTTTTAGAGGTGATACTTAAAACACTCTTTCAAGGCATATACAAATATTGATATAGAAATTTTTGTATATGGTACCTGTACAGGTGCATATTTTTACATTTTCAATACCTTACAGCACATATGATTTAAATATTTTAAATTTACATTTTAAAACATTTATTTTTCTATATAAATAACACAAGTTTTAATTTGTAAACAAAAAGTGAACATGATTCTAATATAGTAAAGTCAATAGTTTCCTTTTAAAAGATTTACAAAAAGGAAATTATGAAAAAAGGATTATTTATTTTCTTTAAATTGTAAATATTTTAATGAATTTGGCGTACATAAGCAGGTCGAATGAGTACAAAAATATTGATAAATTTAAAATAAAATTCAAATTTTATGAGGGGATAATGGAAAATGCCCGGCATTGAATATGGCTTGCAAATGACTATTATAATTTTTAATTTTTTCTTAATATACAAATCAAAATATAATTTGTGTTTAGAATTTTATTTAAAATAACTGTGATTTTTCGTTTATGTGTTGAAAAAAAAAGTGGTTCAAACTTTTGATTTTGCTTTAAGGAAAAATCTTACCTTAAAATTTGAGCTTAACAAATTCAACTTAATTTGTTTTTTGATGTCCGGATGAATGCGGATCATAGTTATGCATACAGCGAATTATTACTTATACCTATACATACATAAAATTAAATAATTTTTAAATTTGGCTATTTCTAGAAAAAATCATTTCCTTTCTAGTGTTTATTGTAAAAATAGGTGGGAAAGAAAAATTTTTTCCTCTACCGCATTCCATTTTTCCATAAAAGTTCTCTACGAAAGCATTGAAGTCTTTTGTTTTTTTCATCAAAAACAATTTTTAAATTTTTCAGTATTTTGGTTTAACGAAATAAAAATATGAATTATTTTATAAAATTAGATAAATTTTTGAGTATTTTAGAAAGTAATAATTATTTTTTGAAATTATAATCTAAATCCACTTCAGCATTTTAATAATAGATCGTGTTATAACGTTATCATTGATGAATCTATTCCAGTTTTTTGTGCTAATTTTAAAATATGTCAATATATCCGATACTTAATATTGAAATTTTAATCACATTTATAATATGCCA